TGCAAGGTCATCATGAGGCCCAAGCCTGGGGGTCACCTGCCCCCAGTAGGACACTAGGACGTGTAGCTATGGTGGTGGTGGGAGGGGCTGCAGGCAGGTAACCTAGACTGCAGGTAGGTTAGAGAAGGTGGACCTAGCTCAGACCTAACTTGAAAGAGGCACTGGAAGTGTTGCCAGCTGGGGTGATAGAAAGAACAAGATCAAGGGCAATTGTGTTTATTCTTCATGGAGCCACTTATAATCCTGGAAGGAAGAGGTCTATATACTTCTCCTTTTTTCCAACAGGTGAGGTGAGGTGAGATTCATATAATGTGAAATTCATCATTAAACAAAAAGATTTTATTTATTTATTTGACACAGAGAGAGTACAAGCAGGGGGAGCCAGAGAGGGAGAAGCAGGCTCCCCACTGGGCAGGGAGCCCAACACAGGGCTCAATCCAGAATCCTGGGAGCATGACTTGAGCTGAAGGCAGGTGCTTAACCGACTGAGCCACCCAGGCACCCTTAAAACTCACCATTTTAAACTGAACAATTGGCATTTAGTGCATTCAAAATGTTATGCTACTCCCATAGCCCAGGAAGAAAAGAGTCCTCACCTCTTGGAGATTTGACATTCCAGGGGGGAGGATGGATGGTAAACAAGAAAAGAAAATACATGACAATTCCTCAAAAAGTTCCTCACAGATCTACTCTGTGATCTAGCAGTTTCACTCCTAGAGATGTACCCAACAGAAGTGAAAACAGGACTCTAATATCTGTATGCATGTGTTCACAGCAGTGCTGATCACAATCACCAAAGAAGGGAATACCCCAAAGGTCCATCAATGGGTGAATGAATAAATGAGATGTGGTCCATTCACACTACAGAATATTACTCAGTCATGAAAAGGAATGAAGCGCTGATACACCGTACAGTGTGGAGGAGCTTTGAAAACATTATGCTGAGAAGGCCACATATTGTATGTTCCCATGTATGTGAAATGTCCATAACAAATAAATCCATGGACACAGAAAGCAGATTGGTGGTTGTAAGGGGCTGGGGAGTGACTGCTCGTGGGGATGGGGGGGTTTCCTTTTGGGACAATGGAAATGTTTTCGAACTAGGTAAAAGTGATGATTGCATGACATTGTGAATGCACTAAATGCCATTGAATTGTATACTGTAAAATGGTGAATTTTATGGTGTGGGAATTATATCTCAATTTATTTATTTGTTTGTTCGTTTGTTTTTTTAAGCTTTATTTGGGGCACCTGGGTGGCTCAGTGGTTCAGCATCTGCCTTTGGCTCAGGTCATGATCCCAGGGTCCTGGGATCCGTTGGGGAGCCTGCTTCTCTCTCTGCCTGTGTCTCTGCCTCTCTCTCTGTGTCTTTCATGAAGAAATAAATAAAATATTTTTAAAAAGATTTGGGGGGATCCCTGAGTGGCTCAGCGGTTTAGTGCCTGCCTTCGGCTTCAGGGCGTGATGCTGGAGTACTGGGATTGAGCCTTACGTCTGGCTCCTTGCAGGGAGCCTGCTTCTCCTCTGTCTGTGTCTTTGCCTCTCTCTCTCTCTGTGTGTGTCTCTTATGAATAAATAAAAATGAAATCTTAAAAAAAAAGATTTATTTATTTGAGAGGGGAGAGGCAGAGGGAAAGAATCTCAAGCGGACTCTATACTGAGCACGGAGGCCAACATGGGGCTCAATCCTACAACCCCGAGATCATGACCTGAGCTGAAATCAAAAGTCAAACTCTTAACCAACTGAGCTGCCCAGGTGCCCTTATATTTCAATTTTATTTAAAATTTTTTTTTATTTCTTAAAGATTTCATTTATGTATTTGACAGAGAGAGAGAGAGAGAGAGAGAGAGAGAGAGCGCTCGCACAGGTAGGCAGAGTAGCAGGCAGAGGGAGAAGGAGAAGCAGGCTCCCTGCTGAGCAGGGAGCCCAATAAGGGACTCAGTCCCAAGACCCCTGGGATCATGACCTGAGCTGAAGGCAGACACTTAACCAACTAAGCCATCCAGGTGCCTCTATATTTCAATTTTAAACAATAGAAAACTAAGATACAATACAGAGTAATGGGGGAAAAATCAAGCAGGCTTGGGGGCAGAGAGTGGGTGTGGGAGAGGAAAAATGCTGAGAACCGCTTGGACTTGGAGCTTACCACCTGAGCTGCCCTGAGTGCTTAAGTTATTTACTTCATCCTGGCCTTGCTCTGTCCTGCAGGGATACTCTAAACACGGGGAAACTGAGATATAAAGAGCTGGAGCATTCCGCCCAAGAACTTGAGGCTTATAAGAAGTAGATGCAGGGCAGCCCGGTTGGCTCAGCGGTTTAGTGCTGCCTTCAGCCCAGGGTGTGATCCTGGAGACCCGGGATGAAGTTCCAAGTCAGGCTCCTTGCATGGAGCCTGCTTCTCCCTCTGCCTGTGTCTCTGCCTCTCTCTGTGTGTGTCTCTCATGAATAAATAAATAAATAAATACAATCTTAAAAAAAAAGAAGTAGATGCAGAACTAAGGGTAATAGCAAAAATAGTGAGCATTTGTTAGGTGTTGACTGTCTATACAGAAGCAAAAGGAGGCACTGGGAGCATCAGCAGCGTGTTCTGAGGCCACTCGGTGTTGAAGGGCAGACAGGGTTGACACCAGTCCCAGCAAGAGGCTGTAGGAAAACAAGGCATCCCCTAGCCGCCAGGCCTCCATTTCCTCCTCTGTAACACCTGGGGGTTACAAGGAGGCCTCCGAACTCTGACCTGGGGCCGGGAGTCCCACAGCTGGTCCGGAGCGGGGTAGCAGGTGGCGGGCCCCCGCCTCTGGGAGAGCAGTGCCAGCTGTGGGCCAGATGGTGGCCAGACCTGTGGACATCGTCTGCTGTGTCCGCTTCCAAGCTCTGCCAGACCACAGGTCAACATTATTGAAGGAGGGTGTGCAGTAACCTCTGGTGGGCCCTCTGGGTCCTGGAACCTGCCTGTGTCCCATCCAGGTGTGACAGCCAATCAGGCTCCAGTCAAGAACCCCGGGGGAGGTCCCTGGCCCTGCTCTGCCTCACCTTCACATTCCATCTGCTGCATCTCCGGTTGGCTCCACCTGCAAAGTACGTCCCAGCTAGGACCACCTCCTTGGGAGGAGCCCCATTACTTGGCCTGAATCCTTGCTTCCTAAATAATATCCCTAAATCAAGATATTCCCCCGACTGTTGGCGTTGGTTACATGGCTAGGCAACATGCCAGGCCTGCTCCTGCCTCAGGGCCTTCGCACTGGCTGTCCTGTCCCACAAGATCTTGGAATACCTAGTATGTCCACTGCACCATGCGCCTGCAGTGTGCTACACATGAGCACACAGCCAGGGGCCCAGTGAACCTCTTCTTGCTTATCTTCAGCTGTATGTCTGTGTGTCTGACATGTGGGTCAAATCTTGGTGTTTATGAAGTGTGAGTGCATATGGATGCCATTGACTGCAGCCCTATGTGTGGCAGGCGTGTGAGCTGTAGGTCTCAGCTGAGTGGGGTTTGATGCCTATATGTGGTTCATCTGGAACAAAGGCTCAAATGGCAGGCCGAACTCCAGTGGGCAGTGTGTGTGCAGAGCTTGCCAGAACTTGAGCTGCTCATACACGCACACATTCAACATTTATTGAGCGCTTATTGTGTGCTAGAGAAGTCACCAGGGCCCCTCAGCACCTGGTTTCTGTCAACTTGCACAATGTCAACTCCTGAGCATTTAACACAAATGATTGAGTATCTACTGTGTACCCACCTGATCCTCAGCTGCATATGGATCAGTTGAGTCTGCTTCTATCTGCAGAGCCCACCCAAGCAGGCTTCTTGCTTCCTCCTTGCCCCTTGCATGTCTAACCCTCTTCTCCTAGTACTGATCTCAAGGAAAGCTCTGAGTTTCATTTGACCCCTGGATCCTGCTCAAGGCTGCACAGGAGAGGGTTTTCCAACTCAGAAGGTGAAAGCATAAGTGGGCACAAGGGTGGAGAGAGGATCCTGGGAACTTGGACCCTTCTATGGTGGAGATTCTAGGTTTTCAGTAGACTGTGGGGTGGGGAGCGTCTTTGAAGGCTCTGGGAGCTTTCCAGAGGCCTTGTTGGTCCTGGGTTCCATGGGGGTCTAGAGTATGGAGCAATGAAAGAGGGAAGGGAGGAGGAAAGAAGGAAGGAGAACAAAGAGAGAAAGGAAGGACACAGATGCACAACTTTGAGCCTTGGCTAAAGATTGGGTAATTGTGAGGCTGGAATTTGGGGATTCAAGGGCATTGGGTTCTGCTGGAGTGGACTTTGGGGCTATAAGTGTGGGTATGAAGGGTCTGTGGGCAAGGATTTGGGGGAGTAGGAGTTAGGATTGGAGTAGAGGATGGGGAGATAATCTGAGGGCAGGGGTTTTGGGATGTGAAAACCAGAATTGTGGTGAAGCAGGAGGTTTGGGGATCTGAGCACAGGTGACTGGGGTCTGAAAGTGTAGGTTCTTGGGCTTGAGGGTGGAGGCTCTGGGAGGGTAGGTCAGGGGAGGGCTGGAATCCACAGCCCTGTTAGAAGGGGATGAATTCCCATGTCTGAGGGAGGTCTTGGGGAGTGAATGACCCTGGAAGGGGAGGGAAAGTTCTTAGAGTTCTTGGACCACTTTCTCCCTGCTCCTCCCACGTCGGCCTCGCCCTTCCCCTACGTAGAACGGACCCTTCCCCAGACCTGCCGCACTTCACCTTCGGGCCAGTCCCTGCTCTCCGAGCCCCCTCCCAGGCCCCACCCACTCCTCCCTCCTCGCCTTTGCCCCGCCCCTTCCCAGAGTAGGCCCCGCCCCTCGCCGAGTCTCCGCCCCCTCCCCGCCGCGGAGCGGGCCCCGGCCTTCACTGCCCCCGCCCACCCGCAGACCCCACCCCTCTCCCCCGGGTCCCACCCCCTCAGGGGAGCAGGCCTTACCCCCCGCCCAAGGCCCCGCCTCCTGCAGAGCAAGCCCGGTGCCGCCCCGCCCCCCCGCATCTGTGTCTCCGGGACCGGCGCGCGCGGCTCCCGTCACTCGAACGCGCGGCGGCGGCGGCGGCGGGAAGATGGCGGAGTCCGGTGGCGGCGGTGGCGCCGGTGGCGGCGGCTTCGGCGCGGGCCCGGGGCCCGAGCGCCCAAGCAGGTGAGACCCGTCCTCGGGGTGGGCCGGCACCTGCCCCGGGGCCGGGGTGACGTGTGGGCAGTCCTGGGGATCCCGAGGGGCTGAGGAGCCACCTGGGCCGGTTCGAGGGTCTTTACGGGGGGGTTGCGGGCTTTAGGGGGTCACAGAATACTGGGGGGGCCGAGGGCTGCTGAGCGGCAGCTGAAGGCGGTCTGGGGGCCCCAGGACCTCGAGATACCTGCATGCGGCCCTAGGAGTCTGAGGGGGCATTGAGGGGCATGGACGTCTGAAGGGAAGCCCATGGCCTCCTGACGTGTTGGGGGCATGGAGGAACTGGGGATGCCAAGGGGTCTGGGAGGCAGAGAGCCCCTGAGCAGAGGACCGTGGGCAGTCTTGAGCTTGTTAAGGAGGGGACTGGTGGGAGAGCTTGAGGGGCTGAGCCCCAAGGCTTCCTGGAGGGTGCTGTAGGACCCTGAGGTGTCTAAAGGTGGTCCTCAGGGCATGCTGAGGCAAGTCCTGGCAGCCGCGAGGACTGTGGAAGGCTGGAGTTAGGGGGCTCAAGTGAATCTGAGGGCCTGAAAGAGGCCTAAAGGGCCTAGGAAAACCTGAGAGGGGAGGCTGAGGTTCCCCCCCCCCCCAGGGGGGGGCGTCACCGTGAGTCTTGTTGGACAGAGAGGGGACTGGTGTTCCCACGGGTCCTAAGGGGCTGGAGTGGGTTGTGGGTAGCCTGAGGATGCTGAGAGACCCCTGAAGGTCTAAGGAGAGTCCATCCTTGGTGCTTCTCTCTCCCATCTCCATGGGGTTCAAATCCTCCTCCAGGCTGGGGCACCTGGGTGGCTCAGTGGTTGAGCATCTGCCTTTGGCTCAGGTCATGATCCTGGGGTCCTAGGATCAAGTCCTGCATCGGGCTCCCCACAGGGAGTCTGCTTCTCCCTCTGCCTATGTCTCTGCCTCTCTCTGCGTGTGTGTGTCTCTCATGAATAAATAAATTAAAATTCTTAAAAAAAAAAATCCTCCTTCAGGCTAAAGGACTTGAAGCGAGGTCTTGCCCACAGACCAAGGGGGCAGAATTCATCCCCTTTGGTCAAAGGGAGGCTCCCTTTTCCTTTGTCCAAGTCCTGAGATAGATTGCTTGAGCTCCAGAATTGGTGTAGGAATTGAAGTTGTTTATATGCAGTTTTGGATTCTCAGAGGGGAGGAACACCTGCCTTAGGTAACACAGCTTCCCTCTTATTGCACAAGGTCAGTGTAGCCCAGATGCTTCCATCCTGGCCTCCCAGGAAAGCCTGTCACCCCTTGGCTGGTGAAGGAGGAAATCTGGGCTCTTCCTTGATGGTGAGCTTACAGGAGCAAATAATTTCAGTGTGATAAGTGATGAAGTTGTTCACTACCTGTGTGCTCTGGAGGAGTCCTTATTGTGGAGACTTGGGCTAGTGCCAACCAGAAAAACCTGATGGCTTGGGCATAAGCTGGGCTTTAGGGGCCTGCAGCGGGGAGCAAGGAGAGATCAGAAGATTTGTAAGACATTCAGGGGTAGAGTTGGCAAGGCTTGTTGACTAGGCATGAGGTGACATGTAAGGAACAAGGGGACCACTAACCCTAGGTCCCTGCCTTGCGCCCTGGAATGGGATAACCTGGGGGCAGCAACAAGGTGTAACTAATTATATACCATATAATTCACTCATTTTAGCTGAGTAGTTGAGTTATACAGTTGTGTACCCTCTAATACAATCCAGTTTATTTTTTAATTTTTATTTATTTATTTTTAAAGATTGTATTTATTTGTTCATGAGAGAGAGGGAGAGAGAGAGAGAGAGAGAGAGAGAGAGAGAGGCAGAGACACAGGCAGAGGGAGAAGCAGGCTTCATGCAGGGAGCCTGACTTGGGACTCGATCCTGGGTCTCCAGGATCAGGCCCGGGGCTGAAGGCAGTGCTAAACCGCTGATCCACCAGGGCTGCCCATAATCCAGTTGTTTTTTAGAAGGCTCACATCACTCCAAAGAGTTCCCTCAGGCTCGTGTAGTCAACCACACTCCATCCCCAGGCCCAAACACACCCTGATCTACTTTTGCCCTTGTAGAAATTTTACATGAATGGAATCCTACATATGTGGCTTCTTATGCCAGGCTTCTTTCCTTTAACTAAATGTTTTCAGAAGTTCATCTATGTTGTCACAAGTATCAGAAGCTTGTTCTTTTTCATTGCTGCAGAGTATTCCACTATATGGACAGATAGTATGCTTGCTCATTTACTGGTTAATGGACATTTGGATTTCTGTTTTGGCAATTACAAATAAAGTCCCTGTGAACAGCCAGGTATGCGTTTTTGTGTGATACATACTTTTATTCTTTTGGCTAAATACCTTTGGAATGGAATGACTGGGTCCTATGGTAGATGTGGGTTTAACTTTTGAAGAAACGGCCAAACTGTTTTCCAGAGTGACTGTGCCATTTGCATTCCCGCTAGCAAATGTATAAGAGTTGCAGTTGCACCCCATCGGTGCCTACACTTGATGTGGCCAGTCTGTAATTTTAGTCATTTTAAATATATACTAGATCTTATTTTGGTTTTAACTTTTATCTTCCTAATAAGTAATAATGTTGGATACTTCTTCATGGTGGGTATTCATATCTTTGGTAAAGTGAAAGATTCATATCTTTTAAAATCTGCCCATTTTCTAGTTGCGTTGTCTTCTTATTGCTTACTTTTAAGAATTCTTTATGTGTTCTGTCTGTAAATCGTTTATCAGATATATGATTCACAAATATTTTCTCCCTGCCTGTGGCTCTTTCTTTTTCTTTCTTTCTTTCTTTCTTTCTTTCTTTCTTTCTTTCTTTCTTTCTTTCTTTCTTTCTTCTTTCTTTCTTTTCTTTCTTCTTTTTCTTTCTCTCTCTCTCTCTCTCTCTTAATGATACCTTTCACAGGGCAAAATTTTGTCATTTTGATGAGGTCCAGTTTATCAGTGTTCTTCCCTTATGGATTATACTTTTGGTGTCATATCTAAGAAATCTTCTTTCTTTAAATTTTATTTTAAGGAGGCTGCATGCCCAGCGTAGACCTTGACACGGGGCTTGAACTCATGACCCTGAGATCAAGACCTGAGCTGAGATCAGGAGTTGGATGCTTAACCAACTGAGCTGCCCAGGTGCTGCTCTGAGAAATCTTTTCTAAATGGAGGCACTTCTTTAAAAGACATCTCCCTCACTTCTGAGATTCCCATTTGCCCCCTTCTATCCATCCCAGTGAAAAATTACAGTTGTCTAGAGCAACTGGTAGGGGAGGGGCTTTTAATCCCTGTGGTGCTCGTATGGGGAGAGGGGCAAGAATCCCTAATATGGTGAGATGGAACATGCAGGAAGAGGATCAAGTTTTGAGGAAGATTGTGGCACACAATATTTTGGCAAGGATCCCTTGAGATCTAAAGGCCTTTGTAACATTGTTCATTGTTCCAAAGCTGCCAGAGAGGCCTAGTGTATCACTTGCCCTTGCCTCATTCCTCTTCATGCTTCCACACTCCCAGGTCATGGCTTCTTAGAGCCATCTGCCTGACCACCGAGGTCTGTTAGCCCCCAGAGCACTTTTTATGGTCACCTTGGATTGTTTAGTAAAATTTATATAGCATTAAAAAAATTTTATATAGCGTAAAAGTCACTAAAAGTGAATGATTCAGTGATATTTAGTATTTTCACAACGTTGGGCAACTATCCCATCTATCTAATTTCAGGACATTTCCGTCAGTTCAAAAGAAAATTCTGTACCTATTGGCAGTCACTCCCCATTCCTTCTTCCTCAACCCCCTAAAACTATTCATCTAATTTCTGTCTCTACAAATGTATCTGTTTCATAAATGGAATCATACAACATGTGACCTTTTGCGTCTGGCTTCTTTCACTTTGTATAACATTTTCAAGGTTCATCCACATTGGTGTGTGTATCAGTAATTCATTCCTTTTTATGACTGTATAATATTTCACTATGTGGACATACCACATTTTGTTTATCCATTCACTAACAGATGGACATTTTCGCTGGTTCCACCTTTTGGGTATTTTGGATAGCGCTGCTATGAACATGCATGTTCAAGTTTTTGTTGGAACACTTGTGTCCAGTTCCTTGTGGTATATATACCAGGAGTGGAGTTGCTGGGGCATATGGCTGTTGTGTGTCTTTTTTTTTTTTTAATTATTTATTTATTTATTTATGATAGAGAGATAGAGAGAGAGAGAGAGAGAGAGAGAGAGAGAGAGAGGCAGAGACACAGGCAGAGGGAGAAGCAGGCTCCATGCACCAGGAGCCCGACGTGGGACTCGATCCCGGGTCTCCAGGATCGCGCCCTGGGCCAAAGGCAGGCGCCAAACCGCTGCGCCACCCAGGGATCCCTGTTGTGTGTCTTTGATCATGCTATCACCACCCAAGATTACTTGGTGTTTTTATTAATGGAAGTGCCTTGAGGGTGGAGAGCATGTCTGCCTTATGCTGTCTCGTGTGCCTGGAGCCAGGACTGCGCCGAGGAAATGAGTGTTCAAGAAATATGGCCAGGGGTGGGGAGGGAGAGAGGAAGGGATGGACGAAAATAGTGTGGAAAAACTCTCTAGGGCTTGCAGTCTGACTGGTAGGAAGTCCTTTCTATGAGATCGGTTAGTCCTTTGCCTTTTCAGGGAGACCTGTGGGGTTGCTGAGACCTGAGGGGAGGCTGGCCTTATCTGTGAGGTTGGTTTTCCAATCTGCCAGGAGGCGCCTGCATCTGCCTTTTTGTCCCATGAAGGGTTTTGTCATTTGGCCAGGGATGGGGGTGGTTCCTGTCTTTCCCTTGGCCTTTCCAACGGTCCCACAACTCAAGAAACTGTCCTCAGGAGGGACTGAGCTCCCCCACCCCCCACCGCCCCCAGCGTTATATAACTTGTTTGTTCCAACTTTACTTTTCTGCAACCAAGGGGGAAAAAAAGAAAGAGAAAAGCTTATTCTCCTTCCTTCCCATCTCGAGGGATCAACAAAAAACTCGTTGCCTAGTAGAGATGGTC